TTGAGGCTGGCAGCCACGTGACATAACGGAGGAATGAACGAAAAGGACAAGCTTGGCGGGGTTGAGCAGGGGCCATGGACGAAGCCAGCTGAAGTGACAGTAGGTTGGCGACCATCACGTCACCAAGCGTGGATTAGCTCCGTGGACCATGAGTTTGCCAACACTCCTTGGCTGAAGTGCTTGTTTGGATTTCTTGGCAAACCGCAGAAGCGACTTGTTGCTGCATTATTTGGACTGTCTTACCTGGGCTTACAGGCTTATCTTGTTCCTCCTCTGCGACCTTGTTGCACATTGAAGTCGAGTATCGGTACTTGTACCCTCGTCATCGTCTGTCTGAGGTCTCTTTGTATGGCGCAACGTGCAAGCCGTGCTGGCAGAAACTTGGCCCGCGTCAGTGCATCCCTGGCCAGCTGATGATGTAACTCCACTTAACGTGTGGGAAGCTGCGAGCTGTATCGCGACTCCCAATCTTGTGCCTCCTTGCTGCACCTCAACTAGCCTTTGCCAAGACCAGGTAGGACAGGCAAGATGATGGTGCCCGCCTGCTGGATGCAGCTAAGATAGGTGGTAAGGTACTCGTTCTGTTGCCTCTGGTCTAAGCCACTATCGTCTCCCGATGGTCTCCCCTCACCTCCCCGCCCTGGTGACGGTTCCCTGTCTCTCTTCCTCGTGCGACCTTAGTCGAACTACAAGTAGCCAAGCTATCCCATTCTTAATCCCACTTTGACCTGAATTTATCTCTCCAACTTGAACCGAGCCTCCAAGATCCACCGTCCTAATCCACGATTGAACACCACTACACCTATTCTACCAAGTCAAAACAACCCATCTTTCATCATGGACTTCGTCAAGAACCTTGCTGGAGGCAACAACAACAACAACAACAACAACGCGGCCTCTTCCGCTGACCAACCTGAGAAGAAGGAGTCCGGCGGCTTCATGGACAAGCTCAACGGCATGGCTGGCGGTGGCCGCGAGAGCGAGAAGCAGGAAGACGGTCTTGACAAGGGTGCGTAATTACTCTCCATATCTGTAACGCATGATCACAAGACTAACGCCACCCTTAGCTGTCGACTTCGTCCAAGAAAAGGTCCTCGGTCAAGGCCCTCAAGATAACGAGAGCGCCGCTGAGCAGGCCAAAGACGAGCAGATCAGTGATTTCATTCGCGGCCAGTACAAGAACACTACTGGCAAGGAATTCCCCATCGAGGACAAGGACAAGAAGTACGGCCTGTAAATCAATGGATCCGTCAATCGAGCACCTCATAGAAGAGGAATGCTGCATTGCGCCCGAGTTCACAAATAAGGCGACCTGAAAATGGCGGCTAAACAGCCTGAACTTGAGGAGTAGCGGTACTCAGCACAACGCATTTGGAAGAGGACCCTGGAATGGGACTCTGGGAATTGTACCTACCTAGTAATACTACGAAATCACGACGTCAACGATTACAATCTATGGGCTCTGTGTTGTGACACAATTCCCTTTTTTCGATTTCGATGCTCCAGATACTACTTGAAGAAAAGCGAGACTTCGACCGGCTTGCCGTTGGCCTGCCTCGGATGAAGTTGGAATGCAATAGTAGATGAGGCGCAAGAGGTGCCTGCCTGCTGTGAAGCTTGTAGATTCGGAGAAGGATGACCACGGATACCTCGCCTACTCGGAACAAAGCTTTCAAACAAGCACTTGAAGACACTGTCTAACTAAGGTGGGGGCTACAATGCCAGGTACCTATGTTCTTCGATGTTACCCTTTGTAGTGGCTCTGCTGTTCCTCGTGGAACAATGGCACCGTCCAAGTGTCACAAAGCCGGCCTTCCACCATCAATGCTCTGAGATGGGGCACCCCCGGTGCCTGACCACGAACATATGATGAGTCTCATCTTGCAAGAGATGCCTTAACAGAATTGTCGATACTGTATTTCTACGTGGCCTCTGACCCGCCATGTCCAATCTGACAGTCCCTTCAGCGAAAACGAAGACGACGAAGTTCGCGATAGACCAACTTCAAGGCAGGTCCTTTCCGAAATTATCAGCATTCCAACATGTGCTTCACACAGAAGACTATCCACACAGTATGTGCCCATTCCGCGGTAGAACTGATCGAGTGCAGAAAGTTTATTGAGAACAAGGACAAGACTGACCGCAATGCTTGCATTGCACCTCTCTGCCAGCACACCCAGGCCTTGGCCACCGTCCTCGGCTTCTGCCAAAACTGCGAGGCATTCTATAGAGACAGTGACGTTTCCTCCGTCAGCTCTTCGGAACTGCTCGAAAATTACTGGCAGTTCAAGGCTGTAAAGAAATGGCACCACCCCGTCGAACCTGTCATGATCCCCTCCTCAGCCCTTACAGAAACGAGCATGAAGCTATCCTCATCATGTTTCACCTTTGTTCGAAATGAAAGGGAAGTCAGAAAAGATATGGTGATGGCTGCTTCCGTGCAGTCACTCGTCCATGCTCTTGGCGAGCCCATCACACACCCCTCTTGCGATCTGTGCCGAAGAAACCATCGTACAGATGTCTGTCGGATGGCAGTCGGTGGGCAGAGGGCGACCGTTAGTTGGGCCTCACGTCTCGCTAATGCCGAGGACATCTTCAAGACGTACGAATTCTCGCATCAGTTGAGCCATACTAGCAATGCGGAAGACGTGAACCGAGGTGATTATGGAAACGAGTCGGCCTTGTCTTCTGAAACGGTTCAGGCACCACGGCCAGTCGCTTTTATCTCACCAGCGCTTCCTGTTCAGAGCCCTCCTTTGCGTCGCCTGAACATCCACGAGCGCCGCGAGATTGAATTCCAAGAACGGCAAAAACTGTTTGCAGAGCTCGCAGCCAACCATGAGAAGGATATTCAAAGGCTCAGGGAACAAGCAGAGCTTGAGATGAGAGCAGAAGAGGAGTTCCGAAAAGCCATAGCAGCCTCTAGTGATGCTACTGGTGTCACCGCTTCTTCTAGCTCGGTAACCTCGCATCACTTACCTGGTTCACCGTCTTCTTCTGCAGACATCGCGAGTGCCTTTCCCAGCTTTAGTGGTGTTCATTGCCCGTTGATTGACAATGACGAACACGGCAAAGATCACGCTTTGCTACGCACTCTTGACTACGATGAACCTGCTTATAAAGCTCTGACAGGCGGTATCCATGAAATACAGGATGTACTGGAATTACGCCAGGCCGCGGTAGTGAAGCCGGAGAGTAGCGCAACCTTGCACTCATGCTATGGCGAGATAGGTGATATTGAAGAAGAGAACTCGGGCGATCCGGCAAACTGCCATCCTACAGAGGAACGAAGCGACACAATCGATGACCATATTGATCTCTACCTCAAGTATTTTACTGGTGACGACGACTCAGTCAGCAACGTGAGATTGCCAAACATTCCCCCTCTTTCTCCCTTTACAATTGCCGGCCTTAATGCACCAATCGAGAAAGTAGTACAACGTTCTAAACCTCGCCCTAGCCCTGTCATGCTGATGAAAGTGACTGAGTTTTCGCAGCCAAACCACTTCCCTGAGAGCAACGGCCCCGGAAAGGAGAACGGCAAGGGTGAGAACATCGACGGCCCCAGTCATCCGGAATCGTTGACCTCAGTCCCACTCTCAGGACCGGAGATCCGTCAGAGAGCGCCGCCGCGCCGGCCACGTGGACCCATGTATTGCCCAGAGCACGCCGGTGAAAGAGACCCAAAGTGTCACGGATGTCAGGCCGGTTGCTGGGTTGAGATTGGCTTGCCGCCCGGCGAACGCGTTGAGGAAGTAGAGCCAAAGCTGATTTAAAATAAAGGAAGCACGACGGAGTACGGACGCAGGTGGGTTGTCGACATTAATGTAAGTGCGCATGCAGATAGCTAAGAAGAACGTTCCAATGAAGCATCCGAAAAGTCTCAGTGCTTTTGTGAAGTAACTCGAACTATGATGAATCTCGCGATGTGCTTTCACTTGTGTTTCGGCTGATGCGGCATGAGGCACTGCATGCCTGTGGACCATGTACGCACCCAAGCACGCCGGAAAGGCGACCAGATCTCGCTATCCGACTATGGCTGCTTTCTGGATGAGAATTAAATCCATTGCTTTCAAAGTTCGCAGGGCCAAAGGTATTGCCGTCGTTCTATCACAAGTTGCTGCTGAGTCACGACTTAGGGTTTACGACGTCAGAGCAAGAGCGGGGACTAAATCTAAAGCCCGAGAGGACTTACAAACTTATTCTTCTTTTGTTTAGACAACTTTACTAATCCTACGGTCTTGCAACATTATTGAGATCCTCCAGTCACATGAATTCAATATAAAGTACGCCCGAAGGTTACGATAACAATGGACGCACTTGGACAAGATCATCGAGATGAACTCAGGGATCGTTCACACAAAGGGACGCGTGCAAATCAACACAGGAACAGCAACGCGCCAGTTGCAGATGGCACTAGCCAGCACCGCACTGCTTGCTTTACGTGCCGCGCAGCTAGACAGAAGTGCGACCGGCATACTCCTTGGTGAGCTCTCTCTACACACCCAAGCCCATGAGCGAAGTGATCCAAGACTAACGTCGCTTGCAGCTCACGATGCGCCATTCAGGGGAACACTTGCCGCTACCCGCTCAAATCCAATCGAGGTAGGAAGGAAGGAAGTACAAAGTGAGTGAGACTGCTAGGTAGCCATTCAATGGTCTCATGAAGAGGCTGACGGAGAAACAGCAAGCCAGACACCGTTCAAAAGCTGTTGGACCGCATCAACGAGAGTCCTGTTCGGGACCAAGTGATCGCAGCTATAATCAACTCATCTCGAGCTCAGACACATCCTGAATCGTCAGCCCTAGACTCTTTCTCAAGTTTAAGAGACAATGTGCCAGCTCATTTGGATGCGCCGGGGACAGAAGAAAATGCTGTTCCTGCTCTTATCGAGCAAAGTGAAGAGTCAGAATGTGATGGGCCGCCGGACTTGACTCGTTCCCCGTGTCCGTGTTCAAAGCTGAAAAGGGAGATTTTCGTTGTGTCTCCCCTTCATATCATGGCAGCTGCTTTTACGAAGAAAGATACAAGTTTTGCAAACCAGAATGTCGAAACAGCCGTGCCACATCTGCCACTCGACGCAGTTGGGCGACGAGGCAACGAGAGCTCGATAAACAAACGGCTGATAGAGTACTTCAGTAAGCCGACATCGGCTCGAACGTTTGTTCTTACAGTCTGTCGTATACTGACTCATTATTGCCTAGCACCTCGTCTGACGCATGATACGGATTGGCAAGTCCTGGCTTCTCAGTCGATCAACAGCACACTGAAGTTGGAGACCACCGCTTGCGACCCTGTAACTGCGCGCCTGGCGGATCAAAACGATGTCTCATTGTACTTTCACCTGTGCGTATTACAGAACCCGTCTTGATGATATACTTACCGAGAAGCCTCACTTCTAGGTTCTTCCAGACGCGCAATCCGCATATAGGGCTTCTAGACCCAGATCTACATACCCCCAAATACGTCCGTCACGCATCCTTTACCCTCTTTTCCGTCATTTGCGCTCTGGGATGTGCTATTTCGACACGTCCACGGGATAGAATCCTGTACCCAACTCTACTCTCCCTGGCAGAAGCGAATCTCGCGTGGTCTATCGCGGTGCCAGTGAGATCACTAGAGACGATTCAAGCAATCCTAGCAATGAAGTATTGGGCACCAACGTACCAGAGACAGGGGGATGATCCCCATTGGCTTCATATTAGTCATGTGAGATCACAAAGAACGAATCCCAAGGAGACCATCATGTGCTGACTTCATCACTCTTATTCCGCAGGCTGTACAACTTGCCAAAGAACTCGGAATCAACAAGCCCTCCACTATTGTTGAGCTTGTCAAAGCTTTGGCCCCCGACGACACTGTTGAGATGAGAGAGCGATTCTCACGCAATCTTGAAAGAACCTGGCTATACGTGTTCATAGCTGACAAGAGCTTCGGTATCGTCATGGGCCGCTCCCCGATTGTGGCTTGGAAAGAGCTCCCGCCTTGTCCATGTCAGTGGTGGCGAAAGTCGATGACAACATCTCTTGATCGTATGATTAGTGGTATCATTGAGATTAGGGTTCAGTTGGTGAGTAGATATATCTCTTGCTATTGCTATCTCTCCTATCTCTCTCTTTCATCCAGTGTCTGTGTCAACACACCATGTCACAAGGCTGATAGTTGAGTCGAACAGCTGGAGTCCTTAAAGCAGTTGGAGCGTATGAAGAAGACCACTGCGTCTATCTCGAATTGGCATGCAAAGAACTATGATGTTCTTGATCGAACGTGCAAAATCAGGTGCTACGAAAATGACGGGTCGTCCACACCGACGTTGCCTATCCTAGCTTTCTACATGAAACACAGTCTCATGATTCTCAACGCGCAGGCTGCAAGGGAGTTAAAGAGACTCGGGGGGGCAATAGCCTCGACTATTGCCTCGGTCGATAGCAAGGCGTTTGAAACCGCACATCAACTTCTAGATCTGGTTTTACATGATCAAACGGTCATCGACATTGGATTGGGGTGGCACAACAACCAGTTTGTAATGGTTGCCCACGCCATGACTGAGATTGCCCAAGTAAGTGTTATAATACCATTGTACACTATCCTTGTAGCACCGACTTATACCTCTAGGCTTTGAGTCGAGGAAGTCTATCTTCTGTAGACCACGGAGCTGCGGCATCCCAGATCCGGGCCATCTCTACATGGCTTGAAGAGAAAGCGCAGTCGCTTCCAGCTACATCTATAGCTAGTCTCTACTCCGGTTTCTCTCAAATACTGGTTTCCGAGCTAGATGGAGAGACCAGCAACGACACGCAGAGAAGGCAAAATCACACTTCTTACGAGACTCCAGACAGTTTCATGACCGACTGGTCACGGGCTGTTGACGTCACCTCTCTGAACCCAATGGATTGGCTTGATATGAGTTTCCTAGGGAACGAAGACTCGTTTGTTGGCCTCGAGAATGTGGACTTCAACGACCTCGACGATGATGGTGCTCTCCGGTTCCCATGAGTCTTTCACCTGGAAGAAGTTCGGAGAAGGTGAGCTCAGCCATCGACGCCGAAGGCTTGGGCCGGTTGTGGATCCTGGCACCCACAAATTTCAAATCTCTAGAGACCGTAGCTGTTTCTCGAGGCTCTCGACGAGGATAGCAGGGAGGGCCAGCCGTGATCACCATTACCATCGATGGCATCCGTTGGACTCTTCGAGTATTAGCAGTCTCACAACCTGAACCTAGCACATACGACCATACCCATTGGAAAACTCGGGATCCCGTCCGCTCTCCCATAGATAAGCCAATGAGGGCCGGATTAGTAGTTGGGTCGGTGACGACCAGCGAATACCTGGTGTTGTATGTTTTTGCATTTCTTTTTAGGTAAATGAATCGTCGTGGCCTTGTCGTGGAGGTGGTGATGCGATGTGAAATTTAGGGAATCGGTAACCCTTACCTAGAAAATTAATCAACTTTTTTTTTATCCGCTAAGCGTATAATTAAAGGGGACCGTGAGTACCTTATTTTGCTTAGAGAAAAGTATAAAAAGGTCTCGGAACATTTTGCTAATGCTAGGATAACTATAACTACTGTCTCTATTGCCACTACTGCTTCCCCTTCTGCCGTTGTCGCTCTTGGTCCGATCTCCTTAATGTATGCTTCGCCGAATACTCTAGGCTCTTAGCACAAATACGAACACAAGCAGACGATAATTGGCAATACAAGCACGCACTGTATTTAGCCATCTTGTCTGCGACATCATGTTCAACCTCGAGCTTTTCGCCGACGCTATGTATGGTAAGTGGAAAGAGCATCCGCAAAGTGCGGGAACTCAAGAACATCATTACGGGAGGCCCTGTGAAGAGGTTTGGCCATGAATGAAACTGGGATCTGGAACGACCGCGAGCCAGGCCGGTACAGCGGCAGCCTCGGCCACCCAGAGTGTGCTAGAAGACCAACCTTCATGGTCTCGAGATGAGAAAAGTCAAATCGGATTGATAGCTCAATGGCTCACCTTACATGGCCACCCCGCATGCAGCGTCCAGATCGAAAGTCTCTTACCTATTCCAACTACACAAGCACTATCAGAACAAACCTGACATGTTTACGGATATTCCACATATCTGGCCTTTCATTCCACGATAGTCGTATACGCCCATGCAGAAAGATTTATCTTCTCACATCGATCTCTTCGTCGCCGAAATAACCCAAATCTTGGTCTCCCACACCATGTCTTCTTCACCAGTCGACAAGAAGCAATTGGATATAAGATGGGATAACCTGCCCAGAGAAATTCGACTTCTTATCTTACAAAAAGTGATGCAGGATGATTGCCCACTAGCTCCCCTGGCCACGGTGTCTCAAGAATGGCAAACAGGCATCGAGCGACACAACTTTGCTCGAATCCGACTCACACCGTCACGCCTTGCCAATTTTCTTGCCATGGTCCAAAGAAACCGAACTCTCGTCTGCTACATCTGGTTCTGCTTGGAACTCGACGAGTACGACTGCACCACGTGCGCCCTTTCGCCTGGAAGAACAACTTCAGATGAGTTTGAAGAGGCATTTGCGATCAGTGGCACAGATAAATGTCCCATCACCGCGTTATTCTAACACCTTTTTCTCGATTCTCAGCAAATGGGAACCTCACGGCGATTTGACACTCGATATTAGTATATACAGTATCAGTATGATCATCTGATATATCCGAAGGAGTATCGGGGGAAAACGACTCAGAACATTGGTTCCCATATCTGACCTTTTCCCCCGATACTCCTTCGGATATACTAGATGATTATACTGTCGAGAAGGCGATGGCAAATCGAGACTAGCACGACCCTGACCATGGCTGGTTACATGGCTCTCGACACCTCGTCTCACCTCCATGGGGCCTTAGGAAACTATTCCATCTGATTATGGAGTAGGGTCCGTTCGACAGTGACGATGAAGAGCTCGAGTGGTGGGACAAGCTCCCATTAGTTCTAGCCGTGACCAGTCTACTTCTCCGACAACAGAGCCGCCGGAGGTGGAAACCAGAGTCACTGGCACACATGTTTTCCCGGCTTCCCAGAGTCCAGGAAGTCCACTACGAACCGTGGAGGGGATGGGATAATCCGACGCAGAATTTAACAGACAAATGTGAGTTATTACTGCACAACTCTCCCCGGTGAACTCTTGGCGTTATTGCTCTCTTTGATTTGCGAAGTTCAGTGACCATGTATTGATAATTATCAATTTCCCCGTGCTTTGGATTATCGAATTCTTTTACACTCTATCCGACGTTCCAACCACAGCCTCAAACGACTCGTCATCTTCGAGAACTTCAACTAATAATACCCAGCCAATATGCGAAGACGCGAATTCCTCGGGGGAGAAGATGTCGGAACACACGCCCTTCGCAAGCCTATCCGGGATATCGGCCAGATGATCGCGCTCATCAGCCTCGGCCTCGAACATCTTGCAGCATCCTACATCGCAGACGCCAGCCACTTCTTCGAGATCCGTCTCGACTGGGCGTGGCCGAACCTGAAATCGCTTGCTCTCACTGCAAAAGTACTCATGCCTCATGAAGACTCAAACGAGATTGAAGCCCTACTACTGGCAGCGGCGGTAGCAGCTAAGGATATCCCCCAGTTAGAAACAATGGAGATTTGAAACGGGCGAAAGGGTTTGGCAGGGCTACTCAGGTATCAAGCTTTCCGTCCCAAGCGGGAAGCTGTTCTTCTTTGGAGAGGCACCTGGAAGTTGGCCATGGACTCATTCATTCACGCCTGGGACACCTTAAAGCATCAGTATGATATATTGAGACTCAGGGTATCTGAGTAGAAGCTGAATGAAGCTGATATCAAGTCTCACGGGGATGCAATCCAGCACTTGAGGCTTCCGAGCCGGGTCATTCGCCCTGTCTCGTTGCAGCAGATCCAGATAGAACAGAAAGCCTTGGAAGGCGTAGCCACAGTTGAGTGGGAGCAGAAATATGAGTTACGAAAAAACTACTTGGCCCTTAAACAGTGGCGAGTAATGGGAGGCAGCGAAACTTAAGTTGAGGAGAAGAAAGCTAGGTTGGATGTTAAACGAAACGGCTTATGCGCAGCAACGTGCAGACTGCGTCATTTAGATTTCAGACAGGAAGAGAATTAAGAGTGATGCTATGACATTGAGGTTCTGTTTAGCCCATACTCCCCTATGAGTCCCTAGCACCATTAACGCTTCGAATGCGCGAGGCCGCTGTCATCCCGTCGTCATCCAGACCAACAAGTGTCTACCATGACCTCGAATCAGAACACCCTAATTATCATGTCAACTATCCAAAGTCTTAAGTGCAGTCTCTCAATCTCATAAACATATTGAATCCTCAAAAGCGACAACCAAGGGCAAGAGCGATTTTCAGGACTGCGACTTGGCCCAAGGATCAAATAGACTCAAGCCACGAGAAGATATCTCCATCGAGCATGAGAGACCGAACCGAAAATGATAGACAACTTCGAACAAGTATGTATTCGAGTTATTCCATCTCCTCGGATGACATGAAGTATAGCAGCCCCATGGCGACATCGATGATATTGAAATACTCTTCTACTTTACTCCGCGACTCATCCACAGATCGTTCCGTGGGACCAGGAACTTCTCTGGGCATATTCAATACTTCAATACAAGCGAGATTGCCTGAGCATCGATGAGCCGCGCTGCGCGCAAGGACCACAGAAACTCACCAACTTGTCTCATTCCAACATCATCCGATTTGCAAGCCAACTACTCTCATTTGCCATAATTCGACTCTGTCTCTGCAAACTTCAAGGTACAGGAGAGACAAAACCACCCATTTCATAATGCTATCTGTATCGGTTACAAAAATCAAATCCATGCTTCACCGTGCAATTCTAAGAAAAAAATCGCAAAACCTCAAGAGAGTACTCGAACCCTCGCAGTCGCCAAGGCTGGAGATCTACCCCAGATCAGCGATAGTCATGTGATACAGGTATTCGTACCACAGTACTCAATTTCGATCTACAGTTGTGCTGTAAAGATTTGGATTAGGGTTTGGGCAACCACACATGTGATGCGACTTCACCTTCGGCGAAAACGCATCATGATCTACGTGAGATCCCGATTCACGCTCACGGCCCATGGACTCCGACTCGTCACCGCCTCGAAACCTTGCGAGATCGACTTCTGAACAATTCGATGAAAGCTCGAGGGGGGAGTCTCCGCCTCTCAGAGTGGACCGACGGGAACGCTCCCAGGCTGTGGGAGCTTCTTGACGTCATGCCCCGATACTAAGTCTTGACATATCGTGGAATGTTTCGCAAGTGATGCTAGGCAAGGTTTACGTGGCGACATTTACCAGTACCGAAACTCGTTAATTGATGAAAGGGTCACATTCTGAAAATCAACATGTGAGCCGCGCGGTGTCAAAGCTGCCAAAAGGGCTCGAGCCAAGCCCGACAAGTCAGATCTGTGGGCGGGAACGAGCGTTGTAAGGTTGTAGACAAGTAGATCGCCGTTGCCATGCTCCTGTTCCACTCGTGCGAGGAGATACTAGACCCGACCACTCCGACTACAAACTAGGCAGAAACCCTGAGGGAAAAAGAGGCAGAAACACTTGTTGATCTGTTTTGATGCTTGCTTTTTGCCACCGGGCAATCCGCATCTACAGTTTTCGTGGTCTGCGATTGATCGAGTGAGGGAATACCCGAGCCTGGAAAGAGATCAGCAAAGCTCGGGGATCGTTACCCCTGAGGCTCCATAACATTCAATCGTTGTCGTGCTGTTCCTCTTTTGAGGAGAAGGGAGGGGGGATCATCTTGGAGTCTCCGGACTGCCCAAAGCACATGACTCCCTCTGGCCCACAACACGAGCAGCATGAACTTGGGCCCCTTCCCAGGCTGCAGTACCTGTAAATCGCGACCCATTCAGGAGATGCGAATTTTAGCGAGTGAAAGAGAACAAGATAACAACACCGTATACGAAAGATTCTTGACGCCTCGCGTATGTTCGCTGAGATGGGCCTAGAGTTTAGATCACCTCGCGTTGATAGAGGGTTGAACGTTACGCGGTAAAGCGGCACATTGCAACCCTTCAAGGCTGTAAATAGAGTTGTGGAAGGTACTGAACACCCGATAGTCTCGGAGGAAAGCGCGATTCCTCGCATACGATCTCAGCTGGTCCCTTGGCCTTGGCGGGACTGTTCCTTGGGAGCTGAATGACAGTTTCCCAGCGTTTCATCGACCTGCTTTAGGAAGAAGGCGTCTCCTTCGGAAATGAAGCTCTCATGCCCGTGTGTCTGTCAACCACCAAGGTTGCGTCAATGCGGCCCAAGAATCAAGACGGGCGGCCTCTGCCACGGCAGGAACCTCAACGCGATGGCAGAGGCCGTCGAAACCTAGAGACGTCGCGGAAGCTGTGCGGAACCCGTAGCGCGGCGTCGTAGGCATGAGCGTTCTGTATTCGCCCTTGAGAAGAGTCTGCGGGGAATGGCCCTTGCCGCAGATCTCGGAGACCAAGACGATCAAGTGGGCTGTGTGTCGCGATGGAGTCGTCGATATTGACCTCGCCACGTTGTCAAGTCGTGATAGCGTCGACTGGTCCCGACGCGGTGATGAAACCTCTGCAGACAACGGGCCCTAAATCTGCGCGTTCCTGAAATAGGGCATCTGTTCGCGCCTTAGCTTGAAGGAAACTCGGTTTCTGGGACCATGATGGGATGGCAGAGGCCATATTCCGTGGACCGTGAGTCTAGAGCATAGACAGTCCGTCTGAGCTCCATTGCGCTCGGTGACCGGGACTCGATGGGTAGCTCAGCCTCGGAAATGGAAACCCGCACCGTCTAGACGAAAAACAGAAAATTCCCCGCCGCGAGTTGAAGACAAGAACTTGGACGTACGGATTGATAGAAGCGCATAGCTGGAGGCGTCTTCCACCAAGCCATTGTCCAAGCCATTGTCTTTTCTGTGCCATCGTTGAAATGGGGTAAACACAGTTATCAAGTAACCGGCGGCCGATATGGCGTCCTTCTACGAGCAGCCGGCGTTGTGCCTGCCACGCCTGTGTGCTGTGGTTGCGGGTGTGGTTGTCGTTGTCGTTGGATACAAGTGTAATTAGCGCGTATCCAACGCATGTTCTTGAGAAGCCAATCAGTGGCGTCGAGTGGGCTTTCAAGCCTACCAGACAGGCAAAGACCATGGTTGGTCAATGTGCGGGAAGAGGTCATGTTTGAAAGGCGCTGGCGGGTTGTGTGACTCGTAGAGTTCATGAGGCGTCGCGTGTCCGAATCGAGCGAAGCCGAGCCGGGTTCGGGCGTGTTGCTTGCATGCCGGTGTGCCCATCCCCGTTCGGAGTTGGCGGCCACGCCCTCGGGATTAGCTGCAGGGCCAATTTCCTCAAACGGGCATACACGGGCCGCATAGTGAGCAGAGGGGCGTTGGTCTTTCTCGTAGCCTCGTGTTTGAGCAGCCCGTCCCGTTGTTGAAACATACGCACTGGCATTAACTCTGGACTAAGCCTTTTCAAGGCCTGCGTTTTCCCGAAGAAGTCATCAGAGGAGCCAAGCCTGCGGGTTGGAGAATTGACTTCGATTGCGTTGCCGCTGCGGAAGCTGGTACTGTGTATGCTAGATACCAACCAAAGAGGAAGCATGCTGGTTGGTGCTAATATGGTAGTCCACCGTTCTTTTTCCTTTGGAAATAAGAAGATATCAGGCCAACCTGATGACAGAAGACGATGGTGTTAGTCTTTCTGTGGTGAGGAGAAATGCGTATCGTAGTAGTATGCAAGTAGTTCATCGTAAGTGGGTGAGTGCGTCCGAGACCGCCAGGTAGTGACGAGAGTCATCGACAGTGACGGAGCAGAAAAACGCACGAGGATAGCACGGAGGATGGGACAACTTGAGAGACACTCGGTCGGCTTCTTATCGGGCTCAGAACAGCGTGGATGGATGGAAACAAGCGGGTACTGTCACGGCGAAGTGATGCATATTGCCGGACGCTGTACGGAGTACGTGGTGGCCTATCCGTATGTACTATCACAGTCCATTAGATACACTGGAGAGAGACACGAACCACGGAAGCCGGGGCCCAACAGAGGCATTCCGGGTCTCTGGCGCCATCAAGCAAGCAGACTGCTACATGAGTCGGTTATGGGTTCCATCAGATCATCGACCAGCGCAGACAATCAAGGTCAGACGTTGCAGAAGCCGGCTCCGACACAGCAGTCAAGGTCTCGGCAAGGGAGGATCGTCAAAAGATCATTTGATGTGCTGACAGCGGTTGGACGGATCTCAGAGGCACGAGCTTGTCGAGGCACCAACAGCTGCGGCTAAACCGTTTGTGAGCGCCGCCAGCCCACAGGCTCATCAAACATGGCCTCTCTGATTGAGTGCTCTCAGACCCTCAAAGTCTGCGCGTCGGCCCCATCCCCTTTTTGTTTATTTTTTCTCTCTCATTTTGTGCACCGCCGAGCCCGCCGCGGTCAGAATTTGGCCCCTCTCGATTCGGATCATCCAGGCTCGTCTTGGATTGTTGGTGGCCTCGAGTCTTGGGCCGTGCCCTCTTTTATTATTTCCATGCGTATTTTCTCGGTTTAACTTCCAAAGGGGAAAAGGGGTGTTTGTCATTGGCGCTAATCATCATGGTCAAATGTAGCGATTTGGAGACTTTTGTGCCCAGACATAAGCTGTCCCCAAGGTGGTTGGGCTTCTCAAGCCAGCGTGCCGTACAAGACGCGCCGGGCCTTGCGGGAGCTGAGCCAGTCTCGCCGAAGGGCCGTTGCTGGCGGCTCCAGTCTGTCGAAGAAGGCGGCCCGGCGGATAGAGCCCGAATAGGGGTTGGTGGAGTATCTCGACTTTCGCGTTCATACAAGTAATGAGTAATCAGTGAACGACCCGGTGATAGGGTTCGCATCCAGCAAGGCGCGAGGAGGAGGGTGGACAACGATGGCGTCTGTGGGGGATTTTCATGGCGTCCCGCAATATCAGCAGTATGAAGCGCCCACGGACGATGTTGGCAAGCTGTCTTCGTACTCGTAAGGTACAGACAGAGTAGTGCACAGAGTGTTCGTACTTTGCAGGGTCCCCATCCATCCGTAGAGTTGCAAACAAGCTTGTGTGGCTTATTCGGACCCCTAACATGCTGAGAGCCCGAGACACCTTGCTTTCGCGATGGACCGATTTGGAGAGTTTGATATTTGTCCCTTGAGCGCTGGAATTGGTGCGTTTGTCCCGTCGGAGAAGAGCAGACATTTCAATATTGCCCACTCGGCAGCGGGACCCTGGTGCTCGGCTTCATTCGTAAGGGGCCCCATGCTCTTTTGCGAGCGAGTGCTGGGATGACAATGAACCGGCCTGGTTGGTTCGTCAGGCAAAGGGCTTCACAGAGGTGTCCGCACCGTGGACGGAGCTTTGCCGGGCATTGGAACTTGGCGCCGTTTTGCGTTGTGCACCTCTGCGGGTTTGACATGATGTATGTAGTATGATGTATCCGTATGCCAGGGCAAAATTCGGATGAAATCAGCCCAGTCATCTGGTTTTCATGCGTCATCCGATAAATAGTATGTCTATTGCGAGTTTGGCAAGAAGAAAACGAACAAACGTCCCAAAGGGGAAATGCATTTGAAACATGCCGGGATCAATGGTGAGGAGTGAAGACGAGAAGCCGAAAGGACAAGGGGGTTCGAGATGTGCTGCAGGAGGTTGAGCGGTTCGTCTGAAGAGGCGAGGTCAACCGGGGGCTTGTAGGCAGTAGTGCTCCCGTGTGGATGGAAATATTATCAGGGAAGAAGCGCAGCGACGTGGAGGCGAATCGCACCTGCATCGAGACGCGTACCCAAGGTACAAAGTACATGCTCCGTCTTTCACAGGTTCCATACAGATAGGTACCTCCCGAAGTATCCCTACTCCGTATTGCTCTTGGTGGCTATCTGTGGCTGAACATGGATTGGACGGCAACGGCACAGGCGCAGTGGAGGGCGGAGGCAGGCATAACGGGGCGGCGCTTCGGATCCGACCAGCTGGGCGAGCGCCCGCCCACAAGACCCGGTCAGTAGGCTGTAGCGTACTCCGTACCTACCTAAGGTAAGGAGAGAAAAAGCAGGGGACCTTCCATTCACCTTCCGCCAATAGCCCACACCTTACCGTCTTCGCTCCTGCTTCTCCCATCCTTGACCAACCACGCCTACCTCACCTGAAGGCAGGCAAGGTGCGAATAAGGTCCATCGACATAACCCGTCGCCGAGCCTCGCGATGCCGACAGCTAAGGTAATCGCAGTTTGCCCGGACCACACCTTACCTGAACATACTTTCTACTTTGTATTCGTAGTCGTACTCGCCTTGCGAGCCACTAGGTACGGCACCTTTCCTGCGTCACTTCTCTCAATAGGTACGAACACCTTCAGCGAGTAAAGAGGAGCCCTCCTATCTGCCCGTGGTACGGCTGGCTCAGGCACCATCAGCATTCCCCTTGCCACTCTTAAAAATTGTCAGCAACGAACCAAACAAGCGACATCAGATAGCGCAAACGTTGTTGGTCGAGCCTCGCACTTGGGCAAGCCCCCAATATGCCCCATCAGGGCCATACGGGGCCGCGGGCGAGAAATGTCCCAATGTTTGCACCATGGTGTTGCCACTGGCTGTCTGTGCATCGCGTCACTCGACATCTCCCCAAGGCCCAAGGGGGTACGAGGTTGCGAACTATGGAGCGCGGACTGCGGACCCTGATCGTTCATGTGAGACTCGAGTCATCTGCCACTTTGGCGACAGGACTCAATACGTGCGTACGCAGGACACACGATGTGCCTGCATATCCTATCCACTTTGCATGGCATCGTCTCAACATAGTATTCTGAAAAGATACACTGGCAACTGCAGTGCGTGAAAAGGGAAGAGCCCAATCCAATTGGAACATGACAGCGACGGTAGAGAGAAAGGCCAGTAGAGGCAGTCTCGACCCTCAGAGTAGCAAGCAAAATGCCTAGTCTGGTATCCAGAAAATAGTGGAAGAGAGGAACCGACAAAAGGGCACAGAGATCCATGGATCCATACAGAGGGGTCCGTAACGGGGCCCTCAGTCCTTAGGCGGCTTTCCGAGGGACCAACTGCAAGGTGCGGATACAAGCGCGGGCGGATCGCGCAACGAACGCGCTCAGCAGACTTGAGCGATTCCATTGCAAGCCTGGTTGCCGTGAGATGGCAGGACATGACACATGAGGGCGGCGCGGTGTGGGGCACCAACGCTTTCGATAGAGAACCAGAGTCTGAGTGTGTGAATGTCTGAATGTGTCCATCTGTGTGTACGTGCGTGACCTAAAGAGGAATGGATTTTCCCAGAGCCCGGCTGATAGCATTGATGGTTCGATGTCAAAGTCGACGCTCGTTGCCGTCATCACGAACTTGCTGTACAAAGTGAATGTGTGCGCAGCCCGAGACGTGTGGTTGGTGCCAGATATGTTGATGCTAATTCGAGAGATGTTGGCTTCGTGGGCGTGTTGGGGGAGATTGCGCGCGCCATTGAACCAAGAGTCCAGCATGGCTTGCTTGGTCGACTGGGTGGTTGTTTCCTCGCGTTCGGCCCTCTTCTTCTTCGTGTCTTCTATTCTCGATTGTGTATTCCACACCACGTAGGCCGTGCCTAGCCCAGGTTTCCGGATCTAGTTGGATGCTCCAAGTAGAGTAGTGGGTTGAGGGTATACGTAAGGTATGGTTGACGGGAGTTGAAGGTCCAAAAAAAGACGAGACGAGCCGATGAGAAGAGCCGGTTCCTGGCAACGAATTGAATGGTACCGTCCCGTCCGCGTCCACTTCCCATCCAACGTCGACAATCACATTCACATTTCACACCCAGTGTCCACTACTCCGTGCTTTAGTCTCTTTTGGACCATGAGCAAGGTCCTCCCCACGCCCGCGTCTCTGCCAACTTCCAAGCGCGACGTGATAATGTGAGACGCGCCGCTAGCTCCGATCGGGAGCTGATGTGCCGCTGGGAGATTCATGTAAGAAGCACGATGAGGCAGACGTCGGCGAAGCTGCTGTGAGCTAGCAACGGCGACGCAGGTCCCTCAGTAGAAAAGGGACGTCGAGGTGGTAATGTAGCAGAAGGGGTTGGCGCAACTTGCAAGGCGTGGTACGACGAGAGACATTATCCTCTATTGAGGCAAAAGATAGTCGGCCAGTGCGTATCGTATTGGATCTTGTGTCCCGTATCAGCAAGAGTCGGTGACCACTGGCCAAAAGAAAGGAAACATGTATCCTTCGCAAGGTACGAATACATTGTTGGCGACTCTTGCGCTCTGTACCCGTACTTTGTATGCGTAATCTGTACCTTAGCTTGGGCAAGTCTCAAATGGACGACGGGCTGACGTATTCGTGGTTGCACACAGCAGTGTTGAAACGTCTCTGAGGGAAGCTGTCGCCGTAGATGGCCCCACCGCAGAGGTTATGGCAAGTTGCATGTGAGGGACCCGTGAGCCTCTGATGTACTGTGTAT